AAACAAAATTAAACTATAACTATTAAAAATTAACAAAGGGAGTATAACATATTGAAGTTAAAATCAATTTATAAATTGATATTTTCAAATATTATGAATTGAGATTAATGAGTATTAATTTGTATTGTAAAAAATTAAGTGAAAAAATATTTTAAAATTACATTATATTCCTACTTTAAGAATTAACATATTTTAATCTTTTTAATATAATTTTATTAAAGCATTTTAAAATATTTTTTATTTAATTTTTTATGATACCAACTATATCTACTTTTCTAGTTATAAATTTGTAATTAACTATTTAAAACAAACTAAAAACATATATAATTTTAGTTAAAACTAAACAATTTTTGAATATCCTTAACAAAATATTCAGTTGCCATATCTCCAGCCTGCTGTCTTCAATATACTTTTATTTTTGTTAAATTTGTTGAACAAAAAGACATTAAAGTGCACATAACCTGATCAACAAAATTGCAGGGCAGGGTATGGCATTCAATTATGCTTCTCCACAGTTTTTTTGAACCCAATTCGGCACCGCACCTTCGGCATTCAGAAATGGGATTCAGAAGATTTGATAATACAGAAAAAAAAGACAATTGCAATTTGCAAAAACATCCTGATTTCTTCTACTTTACAGGGAAAAAGAACTTCATTGCTGTTGCTTGAAGCAATGCTCTCCCCCATTGTACCACTTTCATTGCTTAGGTACAAGAATATCAAAATCACTAACAGTCCATTCAGCAACCTGATCTGGATCCTTAAAAATTTCAGTCCCCAGATCAACCGACATCCATTTCCTCCTGGCTGCCGGAGTCCCTGGATCCTGAAAATATCATTGTCAGAGTCTCAGTATTGTTACTACTTCATATGATTTTCTTGTAATAATAGCATGAAAACAGAGTTTGTTTTCAGGCAGGAAAAAACCTGGTAGAAGTAGAGAGATTCTGACAATCTTCCGACGTCGAGTTCCCATGTTCTTGGATCACCAATCCAACCTTCCCCTTGGTTGGTGGGGTAACCATATTCTCCCCAAACAGGATGCGGTAAAATCTGCAGTATTTCCTGAGGTTGAGGATTGCTGTAGGGATCACACAGGCTGAGCGGCCGCTCAAGATGCTCGGCGTTCCCCGGCGAGCAGTAGAGGTGATAGGCGGCGTAAGGGAAGCGGGTGGTGTCGCTGCGGTGGACACGAGCGCCATTGGGAAAGGTGTGGTAAGGAGGGCACATGTCTAGTCTGGTCGGACTGCACCAGGCGCTGGCGTTCGGGTTGATTATCATCTCGCTGTACCGAGTTACGTCGGAAGTTACATTCCCGTCGCAGGGTTGACCATTGTTCTTCCAGCAGCTGCCCATGTCCATTAGGTAGAATTGGCTTTTTGGACCTCCTCCTCTGATAATGTTGAGGGTGAATCTCACTTTAAAATTTGGAGATTCGGGAATCTGCATAACAATCTTATTAAGAACCGTTTTACCTAAAAATTTATGTCATATCGTATTGAATAAGGTTCAACAATATAGTATTAAACCTTTATCTACATTAATATCTAATTAGGTATGAAAGATTAAGAAAGGGTTACTTACAATTTTGGACATGCCTCTAGTTGGATAATGATAGCCCCCTGAAAATCCAAGGGTTGCATCAGACCTTAAGTAAAGCATAAGCCAAGGATACTTAGTTGAAGTCCTCAAGGTATGATGGAAGACCCAGCTTCCTTTTCCAACTTCTTTCTCCCAAGTCACAGAATGAAAAGAAATGTTCCCCACCAAACCTTTACTCAGATCAGCATCCAAGTCCCATGACCCATAAAACCTTCCTTTCAAGGAAGTCATGTTTGGCCCTTGCAATGTGGTATAGTCGTGATAAATCAAGGGTTGGTTCATGCAGCCCTGTCCAAAGCAGGGGAAGCCATTGTCTGGACCAAATGGTGCTGTCTTGTAACCATTTTTAGGGCACCTGGCAGCAAAAGTGTCCATGTTGCCACTCTTGAGCATGATCATCCAGAAATGCCATGGATTTGGGGTGTCTTGAACTTGGCATTTGGATCCTAGGTATAGCTCTTTGCTGGCTGCGTAAAGGTCTACATCATAACGAGCATTTGGTTGCAATCCAAGAAAAGGGTCCCCAACTCCTAACCCATTCTCATCCTCCGTGACTCTATGGACCAATACGTATGGTAGCGCATTGCATAGAGAACAATTCTTCTCTGCACAATCATTCAGTTAAGATATCGAATAAGCTAAATTCTCTAAATTTGATTGGAATCAAAGAAAAGGGGAAGAACTTACCCTGTGACGAAGGAGAAGCCCTGTACACATCAAAGCAATCTGCAGCTCTAGGGCTACCCATGTTTGGAGCTTCTTCTCCAACCTCATTACATTGATTCCATGATTCTATGGCCAACCTCAGGCCATTCCTTCTCATCCCCGGATCACCAACAGCTGATACATACTCTGTTTCATCTCCAGCATGCCTATCTATGCAATGAAAAACCACAACCAGAAAAAGAACAGACAATGCACTACGTTTTGCCATCAAAGACCGAAATAAATGAAACCCAAGGTATAATTATGCATTTCCAACTCTTTGTTGGGTTTTAAGCATGAGAAAGAAGGAATTAACGAAATTTTTTTTCTGTGTTATTCTTCCTTTAGCCTTTACCATTGCATGAAGCCTACTCTTTCTTGTAATGCTCATTTTTCTCTGTTCCTTTCTTCATTGCTGTGAAGCAAACGTAAGTTGAAAGGTTGGGTACACATTCTGTTTCATATATGGTGGTTTCATCCTTATAGTTCAGACTAATTTTTCCCATACCGGCAAGAAAAGGACCAAGTATTGACCGACTGTTCTTTTTAACCTTTACCAGAATCATGTCTAATCCTAAATTAGTTGCGTAATCAAAGGTTTTATTAAGGATTAATTGTTCTATCGGATGAGACTGCTTATGGTATTTAAACAGTATACACCACCAACCCCCTTTGTTTTTTACATTATCTTCCAAATTTTCAAAATTTCTTGCATTTCCAGTACCTAATGGGCACAAGAAAATATAACCCATAAGTTATTTTTTCTTGTAATCCATAAGAAACTTCAAAGTAATATTTGTCTTTCTTTATTAATCTAATGTTGTGTTTCCCTGTGTAACTTCAATGGAAAAGGTTGCCCCATGAAATTATAGAAGTCTAGCACAGCTGATCTACTGCACTTAACATTTGCATGATATATAAAAAAAGTGTATTGGATATCAATTTTGACTCTTAAAAATTAAAAATCCGAACATTCAAAAACTAAATTGTTTTTGTGTGTGCGCCAAATTTCTAATGAACCACTATTACAATGCAGTTTTGCGTTGAGCTTCATCCATGAGTTTTAAAACGGGTACGCCAAGAGCACAAGATGTACCTTGTTAGTCAGTGGGTCATACATATATAAATGAGCTGAAAATGAAAGTTTTCAGCCTCTTTGTAGTCAATAGGTTGGGCCAAGAGCACAAGCCACTGATGCCTAAGAATAGAACCAAAGCCAGCCAACCTAGCTAGCATCAAGCTACACCTTGTTAGTCACATGCTAAGTAGACATTAGCTCCAGTTCTAGGAGAAAGTTTATTGCTTCTGTCTCTTAAAGAAATTATACACCTAACTCTTTGAAGGGATTTTTTGGGTCAAATACTTAGCACCCAGAGAGTCACGGTTTCTGAAACAGAGAAAATTATCTTATTCATAGCACACAGTCCAATGTAAAGAAAAATGTAAAAACTTGAGTTCTATTGAAAAATGTACTTCCAAAATGTATTAAAAAGAGAAGACTTTGGTAGTTTGGTGTCTGAAGACTGTCACTGATTAGCCGCTCACTCATGCAAAGGCAAAACCTGGGTAGGTGGGAGTTCAAGTCCAGCCCAGCCAAGCCCAGCCCAGCCCATTCAAATGCTCCAGATGCTGTGGAAAGTTTGACTACCAAAGTTAAAATGAAATTCAGAACCAAAAGGGGAGAGAGAATGGTGTTTTTTAGTCTAGATGGCATAAAAAATGAAGTCCAGGATAAATATATATATATATATATATATTCTCACTAAATTTTATTCAATAAGGGTGTAAATACTTCCACAACTTAAAATGCATGAAGTTTGAATTGAAAAATCCAAAGGAAAGAGAAAAAGCAAAAGAACAATAAAAGAGAATAACCCCAAAGGATTTTCTTTACAAAAGGGAAAAAAATGACTACAGGAAGAAGTGCCTTAAATCATGAAAACCATAAATAAAAAAGGAGCCAAAACTTCCCCAAATAACATGGGGAAAAAAAAAGAAAAATGAAAAGAAAAACACCTACAACTGCCAGTTCTTGCGGGTTCCTATATCAAAAGCTTTTAGTATTAGCTGTTGTTAGGAAGACATTGACATTTGACATTAATGTAGGTTGCTGAATTGGTAATGCAGAACCAGAGACCTCTCACTTTTTCAAAAAATAGGGTTTCGGTCCCCTACCCAGCATACATTTCCATTTAAGTACTAGCCTTAAAGTGAGAAAAGATAGGTAAAGAGATCACAGGATTTAGGGGCGGAGCTTTCTTTTGAAAAAAGAAATAACTTAGCAAAAAAACCAATAAGAAACCCACGTTCCTATTTAACAGCCTAACTGCCCCCAAAACTGTTAGAACTCTCTCCATTATCACCAGCACCCAATTCAGTTTTCTTCTTACCATCTTCTTCAGAATTCAAACAGTTCTCTAGAGTCATAGCAAGTAAAACAGAATTCAGAAAGTTTAAATTATGAAGTGGGGGAGAAAGAAACCTCCTTCTTCATCATCCTCGTTCTCTTTTCGACCTCCTTTACTTTCTCATGTTCTACCCGCTTCTTGGCTTTGCAGGTTTAAGAGAATGAGTGTGGATGCTGAACCAAAACCTGCAAAAGGGAATCACAATTCTCTTAGTTCATCAAAGGTTGCTGCAGGTGAAGGAAGGTTCCATGCTGGGGATGGTGATGCATTTTGGAGATTGTCATTTGGAGAAAAAAGTGTTGATGGGAAGGAAAGTAGAGGAGTGCTGAGATCGGTCTGGTATGATCCGGATGACGAGGTTGGTTTTCCACCCTCAAGTTGCCAAAGATGTAGATCAAATGCAATGAGGACAATGGAAACTGAAAGAGTGAAGAGGTCTTGGGATGTAGAGAAGATTAAGGAACATCGGAGGGATACTGAGATGCTGCCAGAGACTGATAACCGTAAAGGAGAAACGTTAACAATAATCAAGACACCAAGGTTGATATCTGCAAGAGACCTGAAATTGAGGAACAGATTTGAGGAAGCTGTAGAAGAGAAAAGGTTGAGATTGCAAAGAATTAATAGTGAAGCAAGGAAGAAATCAACAAATCCAGGAATCGGAAGAGACGAGCTAACAGGTGAGAGTTTAAGGAAACATCACAATCTCCCTTACATGAATTTGGGAAATTTTAATTTAACAACAAATGATGAAGGCTCTGCATTTGCTACTCGAAGAATGGAGCAAAGTAATAGACTTTCTCCAGAATATTCGAGCTCTGAGTGGCGAAAACTGAAAGAAATGAGAATAGAAGAGCTGAAGGTGAAGAATGAGATACAGAGGAAATCTCTTTACATGAGCAGGGAATTGCAGAGGAGAAAAACAAAGCAGAGTAAAGACAGAGTTTTTTCTCCAAGAACACCTTCAAAGGTTGAAATCTGCAAAATAAAAGCTCTTGAAGACATGAAGAAGGCCAAATTGAAGATGAAGGCAGCAAAGCAGAGAAGAGTGAAGGAAAGTACCAGGTTAGAGAACTTTGCTGTAGTGAAATGCTCATTTGATCCAGAGAAGGATTTTAGAGATTCAATGATTGAGATGATCATGGAGAAAAAGATCAGTCGACCTGAAGAACTTGAAGAACTCTTGGCTTCTTATCTGACATTGAATTCTGATGAATATCATGAGCTCATCATCAAAGTATTTCGGCAGGTATGGTTCGACCTAGATCAGGCCATTTTTGAATCTTTTGATACTGAATTGCATACTGAAGAATGCTTTCAGGATTAACAACTGTCTCAAGATTCTCACTATTGATGAGAAAAGTACAAATATCTTTAACAGTTACTGATGTAGTCAGAATTAGCTTCAAATTCCTCAAAAGAATAATTTTAATTCGTTGTTTCGAAATTTAAAAGTCTGTGGCTACAAACAGCTTCAAACACAAGCATGCAAATGCACCAAAAGTATACACGCCTCATGCATACATGTTTATGATCATACCTGCGCCAGAGTATTGGAAATACATCCATGTGATTGTTATCTGCTTTTCAGCTGTATCTTCACTGTCATTTCAATTTTGGATATTGCTCAATTAATGCTGTAATTAAAGACTGAGCTGCTAAAACAGCAAAAGCTGACCACTTAGAGAAAGTTGGCATATTCCCATCTGATTTGTTTGATCTTTTCCTAGCCTCTCCTCATAAGTTTTGCAGTTTCTTTACCATAGGGCATCCATTTCATATAATCCAGTTAATACAACCTTACTTTCACACTCTTTATATTAAGCCTTGATTAACTTAGAATGCAGTGCCTTATCTTTGGACAGTAAGAGCTACTTCTTCACTTAATCAAAACAGTCCTCAAACAATTCTGTTGAGCTGGAGTATTTACAAATGGGATTAAAGAAGAAAGCCATCATATTTACCCGGTTCAAGAATCATTCCCTCACCGGCTAAGAACTCGTGAACAACACCATCCACTTCAATCATGCTGCATCCAGGCTCCTTATTCACTTTTAGTTCCCTCATCTTTCTCCTGACCTCCGTAACATCAGCCCATCTACTTAGTGCTGCATATGTATTTGACAATTGAACATAACAAGCACTATCTTGAGGACTCAACTCTAAGAGCTTCCTAGATACATGCTCTGCCATTTCCAAATTACCATGTTTTTTGCAGGACCCGAGAAGTGACTCCCAAAGAACAGGATCTTCTTTTGCTGGCATTGTTCTAACGAGCTCGAAGGCCTCCTCTAATAATCCCACCCGGCCAAGTAGGTCCACCATGCAGCCATAGTGCCCAATAGTTGGTTGAACCCCATATTCATCAAGCATTAGATCAAACATCTGTCGCCCTTCGTGTAACAACCCTGCACGACTGCAAGCAGAGAGGATAGCGATAAAGGTCACTTCATTGGGTTCAGAACCCTCCAGAAGCATTTCAGAGAAGACTTGCAACGCATCTTTTCCATATCCATGCATGCCTAAACCAGCAATCAGAGAATTCCATGTACTAACATCTTTCTTCCGAGCATTTCTGAACACTTCAATAGCCTTTTCAATATTCCCACATTTTGCGTACATGTCAACAAGAGTTGTTGCTACAAAACCTTCGATTTTAATCCTATTCTTTTGGATGTACGCATGGATCCATTTACCTTGACCCAAAGCTCCAAGATGAGCACAAGCAGATAAAATATTCACCAGTGTGCAGTTATCCGGTCTCACACTTGAATTCTGCATATTCTCAAATAGCACCAAAACTTCTTCAAAATTACTCGCATGAGCATAGCCAGTGATCATAGCATTCCAGGACACCACGTCCTTTAAAGGCATTTTATCAAAAACAGTCCTTGCTTCTTCAAGTAATCCGACTCTTAGATAGCCAGAAATCATAAAGTTCCAAGACTCCACATCCCTCTCGTCCATTTCATCAAACAAACTGCGTGCCAATTCTATGAATCCCATTTCAGTATAAGCACTTAACAACGCGTTCCAAGAAACAACATCCCTTTGAGGCATTCTTTCAAGCACGTTTCTTGCAATCTCAAAATACCCACTTCTCGCATACACATGAATCAAAGTATTAGCCACAAAAATATCACACCCAATTCCAATCTTCAGCACAAGACAATGAATCTGCCTCCCTTCTTCAAACCCACCAAACCCAGCACAAGCCTTCAAAACAAAGGTCAATGTGTACTTATCAGGGGAAACAGGGCCATGAAGCATTTCGTCAAACACTGACAGAGCTCTTTGTGGGGAATCACTATTAGCATAAGCTCTGATGAGGGTATTGTAGGAATATGAATTTGGATTGGTAATGTGAGTCAAGATAGAGTGAGCATAAGAGAGAGTCTGAGGCTCAGGATTCGCTGCAGCGAAAGAGATGAGCTTGTTTGCTGTGAAGACGTTGTGGAAAAGGCCAGTCTTGAGGATGTAAGCATGGGTTTGGCGGATTTCAAACAGGGAAGTGGCCATTTCTGTGGTGGAGAGAACTGGTGGCAAGAATGAGCTCATCGTGCCTTTTGTTGTTGGGGAGACAAGATTCAATCTTCCTGCCTCCTTATGTCCCAAGACTCTTAAAAGAGTTACCGTCTTGAGGCTCAGGACAAAGGTTTTATTGGTGAAGAATGACAAAAATATTATCTTTTTAAAATATCAAGAAAAATGCTTTTAAAGTGAAAAAGAAAATTCAAGAAAAAAATTTAAAAATCAAAATGGAATTTACTAATTTAGTTTAGGCAACTAAGAATGCGGTTTTGGCCCTGTTAATTACCAAAAAATTGATAAAATTATAAAATTGAAAATTTTAATAGCAAAAGATTTACTTTAAAAGCATTTATTAAAAATTTGTTTAGCTCATTTTAACTTTTACAATGAAAAAAAAATTTAAGGAATGAGTCAAACGAGTCTGCAATGTGTTATAATTTTTAAGCCGAGAGGTTTGCTTATTGTTACTCGAAGATCAGCAAGGTTATGTTAGTGTAGTCTTAGCTTTCAAATTCAAGCAGGGTTTCCTCTGATTGGCATGTTTTGATTTTAGAAGAAAAAATACCTTCATTGTCCGTGATGTTGACAAATCATGGGAGTTGTTGATAAATAACTTAGCACGAGGGAAATTGCGGTAAACAGCAGCTTTGTCCTTCTGTGAAGAACACTTTACCAATCAGCTTCAATTCAACTTGATTGTATCTCACCTTCTGCTGCCAAGCATTTGGAATTGATGACCAATAAATAACTTAGTCAGCTGAGTTTCTTGAAAGATGAAAAAAAATTGTCTTTTATTGTACAATTCAAAATAAAAAAACAAAAAAATTATAAGTGAACTAGTTCAACTGACTACTGAAAGTTTGTAATTATTCAGAAGCATACCATAAAATGAATTAGAGCAAAAAATGAGTAACTCAAGAGTAACAGTTGAAATCAAGGAACAAATGGAAATTGAATGCAACAACAGATCACTATATGCGCAAAAAGGATTAACTAAATACATGGAATATCTACTTACTGCCAAGTCAGACTATCATGCCTAAATTTATTACATAGGATATACTGAGACATCAAAAACTGGAAAGTATAATCAACCAACATCAAGTTTTCTCTGCAGGTGTCAAATGTCCCATTTGTTCTGCAAGATTATCTATATTCCTCATATTCAACCAAAACCTGCCTTGATCATCAGGTTTGGTTTCGTTCTTTTTGCCATCAGAATCTTTTCTCTCTGACTGAACTTCCTGTGTGTCGGCTGAACCAGGATTTTCAGTCAAAAATTGTTCCCAGAATAAATCATTGACTCCAGTTGCCATTGGTGTGGTAGTACCAGCTGCATGTTCCTTAGAGGCAACAGGCTCAGAGTTCATGTCAATCCCAGGGGATTCTGACTGAGTATCAACATTATGCTGTACAGAAGATGTAGCTGGGCTTTCTGCACAACTCGTTGATTCATCCTCTTCCTGGTTTGAATTAAGTTGATCAAGGGTTTGGCCAACATCATGTACTACATTCTCCCAAAATGCCATGGATAACTCTAACTGCTCAAGCAACTCCATGTTCGACAACAATACAACATCTGCATTTTCTCTAGCTATAATTTGGGAATTTCCTATCTCACCATCTTCAGTGCCAGCTTCTTCATACAAATAACCCATTCTTGGCAACCTTCTCTTCCTATCATTATTTTCCAATTGTGGTGTGAGATTTAAGGCAAATTCTGGTTTCTGCACCACTCCTGCTACCAATGAAACCATCTTTTTCTGTCTAAGTTCCATCATTTGCAAGCGCTCCTTCAAATGCTGCCTTTGCAACTCAAATCCATGACATTCTTGCTCATGCACCTTTAACTCCAAAAGAAGGCACTCTTTTTCTTTTTGAAGTCTCTCAAAGTTATCCTTTAAACTCTGTCTTTCTGACTCTGTTAATGGAGCAACTTGACCTTGTAGATTCTGCATTGAATGGCTGTGAACTGGCTTTCTTCTGTGGATATTTTTCATAAGGTGAGGTTGACCTCGAATAAAATCCTCATTTGCGAATTCCCATTGTTCTGGATCAATTTTTCTGAAACCCTGTCAAAGTTTTGAAGCAAATAAATCAATAGGACACAAAAACAATTTACTTCTACAAAAGTGAAAGGTAAAGATAATCCTAATCCTACAAGCTAAAACAAACTGGCTTACATATGTATTGAGCTGTCTGATGAAGCTAGAGAAATTGTTGTGCTTGAAGAACCTAGGAAGCAACACACTTGCAAACTCTGGTGGATTCCAAACAATAAAGCTCTTGTTATTTTGACTCCATGAAACAATTGTATCTGTGGAAGGATCATCCACCATCTCATATGTCTTTGCAAGAAACGGAGGGAGTGAATTTGAGCTGCTCTGAGCGTCATCCATCTCAAATTCTTTTATACAATCACAAATCAGCAGTAAACATCTAAGGATTTCAAAATTGAACACCAACAAGGAAGAAATGTCAAATTCTCAATCTCCTAGCATATTGAGAGACAGAACCACAGAACAAAACTTCATTTCCTCCCTAAAAATCAGCTTCAATTAAGACCAAAATCCATCTATCCTTCTACAACCAGCAAAACACAAATGTGCAGCAAACAGAGCCAAAAGCCCAATTCACAAGTCTTGAATTCCTAATCCAAATCCCTCAAATTTGATCAACAAAAACCCTCAAACAGAACCCCTATCATTGGATAAGATGCAATCTACAGCCATACTGAGCTCCATAAAATAAAAATCAAATTAGATGAATGCAATCCTTCAAAACCAAAGAACAGAATTCCTCACCGCAGCCTTGAAGCCGCTATCAAGTCAAAATCCAAAAACCATCTTCCCCGTCGATGATCACCAAGTCAAAAAACGCCAACTTTGCCATCTATCAACCACCAAAACCGCAAGAACCCGTACTCAAAGCCCTAAATTCTCCCCCAAGACTCATCCAACCAAAAACCCTTTTACCCTCCAATCGTACCAAACCATCCCACGAGCAAAATTCCAGAGAGAAATCGCGAACCCAAATCGAAAACGTAAACCCCACCAATCTTTCAAAGCCCCCAACAACAATCAGCTCCCGTAAACGTACCGAAACCAAAACTGCATTAAAAAACACGAACAGTTCATTCATCTTGTCCACCAGAAACTAACAACCAACTGACAAAAAGTCGTTAAACTGTAAACTAAAGAAATTCAAAACTGATGGTACGAAAAGGGAGAAACTTGAAGCAAAAGCAACAACAATTTATTGATTATAATTAATAATAGGGGAAGGCGTCAGTTGAGCTATTACCTGAGAGATAGGAAAAGATGGACAGGAAGCGAGGTTGCAGGGACGAAGACGACGTGTTGTCTGTGGAACCGCAAAGGAGAAAACCCAAAAAAGGACGAATCCTTTTTCAATGTGGGTAGAAAATTTCGGGATTCTGGTTCCTTGAACCGCGTAGAGGAGGGATTTTTTTTTAAGGTGTTATACTGTTCGTCGTGGGTATTAAATAATTGGATAATTACGCGGGTCAATTCCAGATGGCGGAGAGCAACCGGCGATTACTCCCTTTCATGTATGTTTTTAAAAAATGTTATGATTGCTCTATTAACTTTATAATATAATTTTATAATATTTTTT